AACGGCCGAAAGCAGCCTGCGCCTTCAATTCCTCTGTCCTCACTCGTGATTGGTGGGTAAGCCTGTCAATCATCCAATCGGCCAATCAGCGTGAGAAGAGGCAATTCCTCTGTCCTCACTCGTGATTGGTGGGGAAGCCTGTCAATCATCCAATCGGCCAATCAGCGTGAGAAGAGGCAATTCCTCTGTCCTCACTCGTGATTGGTGGGGAAGCCTGTCAATCATCCAATCGGCCAATCAGCGTGAGAAGAGGCCGGCATTGACAGATGACTAGGCTGTGACACGAGGGGATGAAGCAGACGGAGACGACGGAGAAGAAGGTTAGCAGCACTGCTGGGGCTGGGCACAGGATGGGGGGTGGGCACAGGATGGCCTCAAAAGTTATATTTGCCTGCTGTAGGTTTATAAATTTAAAAAAAATGCACTACTGCTTGCTATTCTATTTGGATGAGGCAAATCATGGATGAGGCAGAGCACATGTTCAGCATAAAAAACAGGATGGCATAAAAAAAAGTTATATTTGCCTGCTGTAATGCAATTAGTAATTGCATTACAGCAGGCAAATATAACTTTTTTTATGCCATCCTGTGCCCAGCCCACACCTGTAGTGTGGCACAGTTATATCTAATTCTGCATACCTGGCTGTATATTATACATTAAAAAATGTAATATACAGCCAGGTATGCAGAAATAAATATAACTGTTCCACACTATATGTATGCATTATGCACATATGGGGATACAAGGCTTAGTTATAGAATAGCAATTAGGTTTTTTAAAAAAAAAAAAAATCACTACTGCTTGCTATTCTATCTAACTAAGCCTTGTATCCCCATATGGTGGAAAATGGATGAGGCTGAGCACATGTCAAGGCCCGAACACTGTAGTGCATAATGCATACATATAGTGTGGAACAGTTATATTTATTTCTGCATACCTGGCTGTATATTACATTTTTTAATGTATAATATACAGCCAGGTATGCAGAATTAGATATAACTGTGCCACACTACAGTGTTCTGGAGTCTGGACATGTGCTGCTCGTCTATTTTCCCCACTATGGGGATACAAGCCTTAGTTAGCAATGGCATGATCTAAATATTCATTTCATTTAATTTAATTATTCAATGTCTTTTATTTACATTATAAACTTTATAATATATAAAAAAAAGACATTGAATAATGAAATGAATATTTAGATCATGCCATTGCTAACTAAGGCTTGTATCCCCATGATGGGGAAAATAGATGAGCATATGTCCAGAGACTCCAGAACAGTGTATTATTGTATAGTGTTGTACAGATATATATATCCAATTCTGTATACCTGGCACATTTAAACAAATACAAAATATATTGATATACAGGTCCAGGAATGTCAATGTTATATTAATACAGCATGGTCAAAGATAAATTAATCTTTATTTGATATATATATTATAAATCACTCAGCAATGGAAAAACATTTTATTTTATTCATGCTGTATTCACTCAGCTACGATTCCCTGGCTGGAATCCATACTTTTGCACCTGCAAGTTAGTTATGTGAATGAGGCCTAAATGTAAGTTTAAGATGATTTTTTTTACTTTTGGGAAAGCTTGGTGGAGTTATAATTGGAACAAAAGCAGAGGTTTTGCCTGTGATATTGCAACTTGCAGGTGCAAAAAAAAGGATTCCAGCCAGGGAATCATAGCTGAGTGAATACAGCATGAATAAATATAAAATAATTGTTTTTTCCATTGCTTAATCAATATTATATAAAATAAAGATTAATTTATCTTTGACCATGCTGTATTAATATAACATGGGCCGGCTGTTAGTTGTGTGAATGAGGTCTTAAGCTAAATTAAGGTTTTTTCACTTTTCTACACAATTCCATCTGCTTCCATCCTATCCATACGCCATCTTGTGGCCTTTTTTCAAATGGCACGTTGAGATTTTACTAACTTTCGTTGAGTACAACTTTGTGACAATTTAAGCAAAGTAAACCTATTTTTTGACAGTCATGTTGTCTTTTGAGTTACAGTTCTTCATAATATTAAGAAACTGACCTAAAATCATTATTTTGTATTGCTTTGGAAAAAATGTGATCTGCCCCTTTATCGGTAATTGGTATCGGCGAGTACTTAAAAAAAAGTATCGGTACTCGTACTCAGACCCAAAAAAGTGGTATCGGTGCATCCCTAATAATATTATAATATTATATACATATTATATATGTATATATTACAAGAACTGCTCACTGAGAATGTGAATTAAATAGAAAAAAATTGTATAGACATTCAGCATTAAGGACATAACTATAAACCGCTCGCTAATGAATATACAAGCATAACAACAGAAAAAATGTTTGTGGTGACTATCTTGTGTAAGGTGAGGTATAAACTTTAGTTATTTTAATTTCCGAAATATGGATGAAAATTAGGCATATTTAGTAACAAGCATAACAACAGAAAAATTTTTTGTGGTGACTAGCTTGTGTAAGGTGAGGTATAAACTTTAGTTATTTTAATTTCCGAAATATGGATGAAAATTAGGCATATTTAGTAAGCATGATTAGTAAAAAAGAAAAAGCTACATTCCTTATACACATATGTAGCTATGTTTAAAGCATGGACAAAGAATTTATTAACTGCTTCAGAAAGTTTTAACTAATTAATTTCTATTATTTTGACAAGTTTTAACAAAGTTGCAGAAGTGCAGTAACTGAAGCAAGGTAACAAACTTATAGATAGCGGCATAATAAAATAGCACTACAATGCAGAAAGAGCAGTAGGAATATCTTACCCCAGCTTTCTGTTATACAACACAGCGTTAATTACAAGCGGGAGAGAAAAAAGCAGAGAATTAGAAAGCAGCACATGCAAATATGACATCAGTACACAAAAGTCCTCTGTGATAACATGAACCAAGAACAGTATGGGAAATCAGACCATCCATTCATAACTATACAGGATCTTTCTTTATATCAGTCACTGAAAATGTGGCAGTGTTATCAGAGTATGATCGCAAAAAAAACAAATACAGGAAAAAGAAATGGAACATACATGAAAGTGAAACAAATCTTAAAAGGAGAACTATGAGGAGAGTGCTTTTCACTCACCTCATAGTTCTAGCCGACCTGTGACAATGAGACTGTCACAGGTCGGCTCAGTAGATCGAGAGGTGAGCGAACACATAGCGGCGTTCGTTCACCTCTCGATCCTGTCACGGCTCTCTGCCGCGACAGGGGAGGGGCTGGATTCCCCCCTCCCCGATCCGCCAGCGCTTACTGGCAGATAGGACGGGGCGGGTACAGCTGGCTCTGCCTCTCGATAGGCAAGAGCCAGCTGTCACTCACGCAGCTGGGCGGATCCAGACATAATTGTCAGGATCCGCTGCGGCGTCTCAGTATACCGCAAGCTCTTGCTCGCGGTATACTGAGCTTAGGGTGATGGGAGGACGCTAGTTTGTTACCCTAAGGAGAACTACAGGGAAAAGCCTTAACCCCATAGTTCTCCTTTAAGTGACTTTAATGATTGGCAATTGGCCAAAGCTTTCAAAAAGGAAAATTCCCATAAATATGGGTAACTTCGGCCACATTAGAAACAAACTTGGCTTCTGCTAGCTGGATAAATGCTAAAACAGACCCCAATATAAACTTTTTAAGTATCACTTGATACTGATGATCAGTGTATGCAGAGTTTTACCACTGAGTGACAATGAGCTTTTTGGAAAATCAGAGTTCCTCTTTATCTCAGGCAGAAAGATTCAAACATGTGAATTACTTTTATTTCTGCCTTCTTTCCATTGAAAAGAGAATGATCCCTTTTGTTGTGCATATCCAATATTTGTACGAGGTGATGAGAGGTTGAAGAGGGTTTTGGAGAAGAAAATGGTGCCCGCTGACCATAAAAAGTGCGGGCATAGATGATACATTATTTAGATATATGCATATCAGTTAATTTGCCTAATAGCAGCCCACCAGGTTGAGTGACTCAGGTAAATTTGCTTATACTTGAAACTCTACACAGCTCAGCCATTAGAAGCCACTTAAAGTTTAGTAATGACAATCTACAAACACATACTCTAGATAATTGCCCGCTTTTGATTCTTTACATACCTTATTTCTCTTTTCTTCCTCAGTCTTCTCACAGTGGCCATGTTTACTAAGGGCAGATTACTAGCCCTCCTATTACTTCCTGGATTTCTGGCACATGTTAATAGACATGTGACTAGGACATGTGACCATGCACATAATCTCAGGGGAGGAAAATGCCTTTCACTGAGATCTCATGAGATTTCCCAGCAATGCTCTGCTGATGGCAAGGCAATTCCAATGTGCATTGCGTTGGCAGACTGAAGTCATTTGCACTTTCAATGCTCTGCAAGTGTAAGTAATTCATAACCACAGTATTTTACTCCTGACATGTCTATGTTATTATTAATCATCATACATAGAGGAAAGCATTGGTAGAATTTGATTTTTTGAGTGTAAAGGTCTGCTTTAGGCTTTGCAAACTATGATGGTGCAAATTAAAGTAATTTCAACCACTTCATCTCCACCACTTTAACCTTTAGTCCCCTTACGGACAGCAATTATTATATTTATGACATGGGTCTGTTTATTCAATGATAACTTTGTCATTACTTATGATAACAAGGTGGGCTGTGACCCACTGAAATATTGGTGAATAAAGTCATGATTTATTTATGTTAATTATATCTGTAACTGGCCTGACCTTCATGTTTATTTGCTATAATTGTTTTTTGGGGACAAAATAGGCTTTCTTTTGGCATTATTATCTTGCAAAATTATTTTTTGTAATCTATAGATAACAAGATAAAATCAGTGTTTTTTTCTATTTTCATCAGTATTGCTATAAATAAAATGTAAACATTTTTATGATTTGTCCCGTTTAAATTACACTAAAATGATGGTTCTGGTACAAGGCATGACAAAGCTATTTGCAAATACCAAAGGTGCTTTTTTTAAAAAGAAAAATTATGCATTTTTTGTATATAACACTGAAGAAAAACCAAAACAAAATGACAAATCACAAAAAAAATCCCAGAAAAAACAAAAGCTAAGGGGCGAAGGGAAGAAAAGTGTTAATAAGCACTGATTAGGGTTTACTAAAAGGCTAAAAGTGGTTAAATAAATGGAATAGAAATTAATTAATTTTTTATATTGATAAAATGTTTAAGTGATGATATATGCAGATCAAAGGTCACAACTTTGATCTAAATATGACTAAAATAGTAAATACAATGCAACAATACATTGTTACACTAGAATACTCAGTGATACTTGCAGACTATCTGCAATTTGTCAGCCGCTCATATAGCATAGCTATTCCTGGGTGTCATTTGAGTGACCCCATGTTTTGGAACTCAGGCCTGGTATTTGGCCAATCGAGCACCCAGCACTGCATTCTGGGAGAAAGCTTACAGTTACATGTTCCCTCAAAGCAGTGGGGTGAGTATAAGCAGCAGGTGAGAATGGACATCAAATTAACCTTTGCTTTGCCTCGCATGCACAAAGCACAGGTTCCCTTTTAGAAATATTTTAGTAGCATTTTTTTTTTTCTTGGTTACTGGATACCTTTTCTGTGTATGTCCATTGGGCTTCTCTTCAGGTGGCAGCTCTATAATAAGCACACATGATTGGGCATGCTCAAAGCCTTCTTTGTTATTAGGGGTTTTTGGTGAACATTGTGCTTCCAACATGAACACCTGTCAAATAAAAAGAAAAGCTAGATATGACAAATGAACTGCTGATTTTTAGTGACAGTAACAGATTATGTTTTAAAAATTAAAGGGCCATTGATATTATCACCTTGTTGCAGTCAGGGTGGGATGGAGGGCAATCACAAGCTGGGCTTCTGTTGTCTATAGACTTACAAAAAGCCTTTGACTCAGTGTCTTGGCAATACCTTTTCCAGCTGCTCGAGAAATGGGGATTTTGCCCCCTCTTTCTGACTACGTTGCGGGCCTTATACACCACTCCGTCAGCACAAATTAGGCTACAGGGCCACATCTCTGACTCCATAGCTATCTCTAAAGGCACACGTCAGGGTTGTCGACTTTCCCCACTGCTTTTGGCATTAGCGATAGAACCCCTAGCGATTGCGATCCGGGCTAATGTTAATAATTTAAGTAGCTGTTGGGATATTTGGTCGGGCGGGGGGAAAACTCTTTTCGGACTCTTAAGCTGTTCTGCTTCCTTTAGTATCTATTTCTTTTTCCTCTTTTTAGTCTGTTTTTTTTTTTAATTTATTTTTTTCTTTATGCTCACACATGTGAGCCGTTTAGTACATAGATGCTGGACAGAAAGTCTCCTATTTGATATAGATATGGAGGAGATCATAACAAATGTTTGCTTCAGACATAGGCGGATCCCTAGGTCAGATATTCCTCTCAGACTGTTCTAATTTTTGATTTTAGTGATGGGGGATAAATTGGCAAGAATAGGTGGATAGATATGTTCTGTTGTACAGAACTACTATATATTGTGTGTATAGCCTCTAGTGATCCCCTCCTACTACTTGATTACGCTAATGTGGAAGAAACTGTAATGCAATTGTATGTTATACTGATTGTGCATCATGTGCTATTTTATTGTCTTATTGTAATTTGGAAAATTAATAAAATACTCAAGAGTTAAAAATTAAAGATAAACATGGTTCTGAACAGAAAATGCTGCCCTGTGTGTTAGACATAGGTAAGTGTAAAAATGGATCAGCCTGACTAGAGAACGAGGCCTGTTAGATGTTAGCATAGCTTTCACATGGGAGAAATACACTATATTGCCAAAAGTATGTGGGCATCCTTCCAAATTATTGAGTTCAAGGGTTTCCAGTGAAGGGTGTTGTTAATGCTACAGCATACAAAGACATTTTAGACAATGGTATGCTTCCAATCTTGCGGTAACAGTTTGGGGGAAGGCCCTTTCTGTCCCCTGTCCTGACCTCAACCCTACGGAACACCTCTAGGACGAATAGGAATGCTGATTAAGAACCAATTTATTGTCCAACATTAGTACCTGACCTCACAAAAGCTCACAAATCCCACAGATTTTAGCTGTGATGGTCAGTTGTCTACAAACTTTTAAGACAGGCTTAATTTCACACTAAATGCTAACATTATTTTTCTTTAAGTATATATAAGAAGGTTTTGCGCTTTGTACAAAGTTCCCTTATAATTTAGTGCACTCACCTGTTGTGTCATGGCTCGAATTCTCCAGTACTCTGCTTCAGCATTTGGGGACAAAGATGGAGCTGCCACTTTCACTTCACAGGCATCACCAGAAAAACTTTCCGACCCGCTATGGAAGTAACCTAACAGATTCTTTAAATACAAAGATAATACAAAGTCAATCGTAATTAGGAAGAAATACCACTTAATGAAGGATATCAGCTTAACAATACATAAAATATAGGGATTTTAAAAGCTCAGGTACCACCTTGTTACTAAACATTATCCAAGTACTCATTGTCACTAAAGTGTGACTTCTATTTCAATTTGTTGATTATCTAATGTTTTCTTTTCAAATAAATGTTGTATTTCTTATAATTTGCTGGTGGATTAAAGATTTTTTTATTAACCCTTGCAGTGGGCTACCCGGCTTCTGGACCCTGGAGGCTTTGTAGAGCTATGGGTGAGATGAGGCCTCCATTCCTAGATCCACATCTTACCTGGTAGACAGTTCTTATTATTAGTGTGCTGACCATTGCTCAGGGAGCCTGCTGCTGGGTGAAAAGGCTGAGTGCTCATAGAACACAAAAAAGTTACATATGCAGTTTGTTTTGAGAAACCCATCAGTGGGCACCCTGTTAGTCATGAAGCGACCCGAGTTTAGCTTGTGGTATTGACTAGCAGTGTGTTATGCAATTAACTTTCCATTTTGATTATTCCTGGGAGTCCCTCTCCCAGTTAAACCTTTCCCCCTTACAATACATATACATAAACTGTCTTGTGATTGAGGAAGCTTTACCAGGAAGCTTAGACAGGTCAGTGACCTCATGCTTTTGTAAGCAATACAGCTTGGTCAACCAGCCTGCTACAGTCTGTGTCTAGACAATGAAGGAAAAGCAGCATAATAATGAGGTAATTACTCTGCTCTCTCTCTTCCAGTAAGCATATTCAAATTGTATACTGAAAATACTGTTCAAAGCAATAGAGCTCTGATTAACTGTACCTTCATTGTTCAATGTGTACAGGGGGCTACAGGAGGATAATATCAACACAGTAATTAGAAACATTATGGGTCATTGTATAAAGTATAATAATACTTTTATTATATTACTTAATATTAATAATTATTTTCTGAAGCTTTTGCAAAAATGTCTTACCTGAAAATCCTGCCAGTAATCACACTTCCTGTTGCAAGATGCCAAAATGGAACCACGGCCTTGCGTTTAGCAGCAGCGTTGTTAGTTGGCTGTCAGGCTGCCTATCAAGTCTATCAGATGGTAGTCATAACAGCCAACTGAAGAAGCAGGAATGGCAGGGCTGACAATGCTGCTGCTATTTTCAGGGCAGTGGCTTAGTGTGCATACAACATTCCTCCAAGCTTAACTTAACCCCCATCCCCATCCCAGCATATCCCTCTGTACACACCTCTTGATTGAAGTGCATTGCTCTGTTGCCACCTCAGACCCCTACTGCAACACACACCTTTATAACCACCACACCCTTCCATTGCAGTGCATCCCTTCACATCCTCCCATCTCAAAGCATCCCCTTTCATCTACCTTATCCACCACAGCATTCCTCTGCAGCCTCCTCACCCCCTACTTCCATCACTTCACAATCCTCTGCCCCTACCTCACCCCACAATTGCAGCGCAACCCTCCGCAGTCACCTCATTTCCTACGCCTATTGCAGTGAATCCCTCCACACTTACCTCACACTCTCATCACAGAGTATCCTTCTGTCGCAACCCCCTTCACTCCATTGCAATGCATCTTTCTACAGCCACCTCCACCCCAAGTCCACCACATTCCTGCATTCACCGCCACTTCACCTAGCTTATGACAGTACATTCCTGCACTGCCACCCCATTTCCCCCTAATGGCAACGCATTCCTTCACCGCCCCCTCCCCATTGCAGGGCTGCCACCTTGCACCCCAAAGTGCCCCCTAAACCCTTCATCCTCCACCCACCTAACCCCTTTATCACAACACCTACTTTCGTCACAGCACCCCCCTCACAGTGCCCCCCACTCCACCTTGCCCACAGAATTATAACAACATTTGAGAAAGTTGACACCGCTCCTTCCCAGTACTTAAAAATTACCCAGTGCAGAGAGAGATCAGGTGCCTCTCAAGGTCTGCTTTGCTCTAACATGTTTCACCACAAATGGGCTTAATCATAATTAGACCAAAAGCAGACCTTGAGAGGGACTGAGTGGTATTTTGTTGGAGTCAATAAAGTTTTTATTGGAGTTATGGCATGAGAGTGAGGCTCTTTGGGATTTACAGACATTTTACAGAATTAAACCGATGTTCACTAATAAAAATCTGCTAAAAGTGATGGTGTGTAGCCCACAGCCAACTTCCATAAATCTGTGTACACTAGGCTGCTAACAGCTGAAGTCCGATTCGTTTGCAATTGTTACACTTTATGTAAACAAGTAAATCTGCGCTTCTGGAGAAGTAATATTTGTAATAAAAAATTAAGTTAATAAGTTAAGAATAAATGTGAATAAATATGAATAAATGTGAATAAATAAACCCAAAGCTGCTCTGAGAAGAGGTGAGACCTAGTATGATAGAAAGAAACAAAGCGCTAAAGGTAAATGTATGGGCAAAAAATGGTACCACTCACTAAAAGTTTTCTACCAACTTCACTTCGGTGAGTACCCACCCGAGAGGGGCAGTTCGGAATAATTCGAAGTGCAATGCTAGTTTTGCACATTTCTATATTTGCACACGGAATCTACCGTTCACCTGCCACTCGAGAGGGACAGTTTGGATCAATCTCAAGCACACTGTTACTTTTGCACATTTTTATATTTGCACATGGAATCCACCGGTCACCTGGATTTTTTAAGTATTGGACACTGTTTTTGACATTTTAAACATTGTTCGTTTATTTATTTCATTAGATTGAATTTCATTGGTTCTAATTGTTTTTTGCATTTTAGTTAGAGTGGTTTTATATATACTTTTTTAGGAAGCTAGTCCTGTTTTATACATATATATTAGCTTTTATACTGGCCTCGCCAGAATCACTCATAGCTCACTTTTTTGCCCATACATTTACCTTTAGCGCTTTGTTTCTTTCTATCAATTGTTACACTTTGACTGCTTGGTCTGCAGTAAGCCCATCTGAGTACCTGTAACATACTGTTTTACCTTCATGGGTTCCAATGTTGCAGAAAATGCATCTTGCAAAGCACAGCAGGCCAACCTCCACATTTCCTCGGTGAACACGGGTCCTGCAGTTACTAATACATATCTAGAAAGAAACCGTGATTATCTGGGTTAGTGCGTTTCAACATTTCTGATATCTATTATGAAGTTTTAAAACTTCAGTCACTAAAGATGACCATACACAGTGTACATTTCATGCGGTTCATCAAGCTATGGGGGGCCATGTTGGCACACCTTCAATCAACAAAAGCTAATTTTTCAATCAACTTTTTTCAAAGGAGCCAGTTTAAAAATGCATACACTGTCAGGGTATTCAGCAGCCGCTGGCACACCAGCTGCTGAATACAATCACTGGAGGCGGGTGATTTGCTCATCCACGCTGTTTACCGTATGTGTATGGCCAGCTTTAAATTTTACTGTACACTGCATTATCAAAACAGATGCAGACTTTGTTTACCTTATACAAGAGCAGCCTACTCGAGAGATGGTTTCAGTAGGTTCTGCCACACAGGATACCAGAAGCTTGAACAATTCTTTCAGCATTGTGTTAATCATATTCTCATAGCCAATGTCTGGAAGAAATCAGCCATACATGTACAGTAAATAATAGGACTGCTGATTGGTAGAGTACCTATTACTATAGTTGGGGAGGTTGTGCATGAAAAAGAGAGATTTTAAATAAAACAATGAGGTTACGGTTTTACATTTTCACTCCAATGGCAAAAACTAATGTAGCACCAAAAGGTCAAGCAACTGAGGGAGCATTTAAACTCTGGGCCAGAATGGCCTCATTTTAGATGCACAGCACTACCTAGAACCACCCACACTACCTATGAATACCACTAGAGGTATGCACCCAATACTTTATGGGAATATGAATGTTTCTATTTACTGCATAACCCTTATACATATGATCAAATGTAACACAGAAACATATGATGTATGTATACATTGTGAGGCCCTGACGGCAGGGTTGTGGACGATGTATATGCGTCACCTAGGTTTCTTACCTACACGTGCGTTTATGACTGATGTGGAGCAAACAAACTTTTTTTAATCTCAATAAGTTCTATTCTGGGTTTTGGAGCCTGGAAGCTTTGTAGAACTATAGGTGAAATAAAGCCTCCATTCCTAGGTCCTTGTTTTACCTGTTAGCCAGACTTAACTAATTCGTTAGCTGTGCACAAGCCTTTATATATTTGCGCTGACTGAATAGCTCTGTCTCTGCTGTTGGAGCCTACTGCTGGGTGAAAGGTTGACTACAGACAGAGCGAGAAAAAAGTACCATACTGGTACAGCTTGTTTTGGGGAAGCCATTTGGAGGAACACCCTGTTAGTCAGGAACTGTCATAAATTAAGTGGCTCAGATGAGTTGTGTTTGTTTAATGCTATGGACTTGCTGTACAATGGCCTCCTACTGCCTTACTAAATGTGCCGCTATACCTACTTTGTGTGTGTGTGTATATATTTATTTATTTATTTATATTACATTTCTTACCTGAATTTATAAAGCTTTGGATATGTTCCACCACTAGTTCACAGGACAAACCAATAGCATGTTTAAAGTTGGCAGACGCTGCATCCCAGTATGAATGTTCACCCTGGCTGCGGCTTAGCCACATTGACATCACGGGCAGCAAAAGATGTACTACTGCATAAATTGCAAAGCCTGGACCTACAAGACAAATTTGAAACCATGATATTGTTTAAGCTATAAACTTTTTGTGAGTTAGACAATACAAAAAATACAAAATACATAATACAAAAAACACATGTATTTTGTGATTTGCATTATTATGCATGTCAAATGAAAAAGCAATGTGTGTATACAAGACCATATAGTAAGCTCTAAGGGGGGAATTTATTAAAACTGGAGAAGACAGAATCTGGAGCAGTTGCCCATGGCAACCAATCAGCTTCTCTCCTCAGTTTGTTCAGTTAAGATTTGAAAATTAGATATAGAAGCTGATTGGTTGCCATGCACAGCTGCTCCAGATTCTCTGCTCCAGTTTTGATAAATTCCCATCTTAGTCTTCGAGTTGTTTAAATGTTTTTTTCCCATTAACAGTTTCCTACCTCCCAGGGTATAACAAATTAAGAAGACAGACAGATGGCACATGCATATAAAACAGACCTTTATGTAAACAAGGAGTTACATTACCTGGCACTTTAGCAACTTCTCTCAACAGCTCAAAGAGCAAATCCAGAGTGGGTGGCTGATGCTGACGTGGACAGTTGGATACAGCAGCAGTCAGCTGCTCCAGAAGATTAATCCATACATCAATAAGACCTAAAAGAAAATAAAAAAGTAGTAAGTATTCAATAGGATAACCATGGAGCCTATCAAACATTTACTAGGGAGTCGATTTAGTTACCCAATACCTCATTTGTTTCTAGAATACCCAAAGTTTTAAAAATGCATCCCCTAATTGTATCAGATTTCTGACAACAGTACAGGTACTCACATGAACTTTCCTAAAACACTTTATAACTTGCAACAGAATCAGACAACTATGATCGGATCTAATCTGTAATCCACCTTCATTTACACCACTTTCATAATTTGTGATGTTTTTACAGCAAGCTTGCAAAAATATTATTGATCCACTCACCAGTGTCATCATCAAATTCCGATAACACTGCATCAATCCCATCTTCACTACTTGCTGATCTCTCCTGCTCGCGCCGTGGCAAACTGCTCAGACGTCCGCACAGGAAGACTGGCTTCATTGGCATTTTATAGATCTTTGCCAGTAACTGCAGAAAGCAAGTATAATGTACATGAGACCAAACTTACATTAAGAACAAGCATGATCATCCTATATACCTCAACCTAAGAAGGTAACTATCCATAAAAACTCAAAATAAAGATAGAATAAAGCTACTTGTTAGCTACCTGTGATTGGGTCATTCAACCTTATTTATACAGGACACCACTAAGAGAGTTGAAAGCAATGACATTTATAGTTATAATTAAGAATGTTTTGAAATTCTAATTCTCAACCCAATCCAATGAAACAAAATGTATTATTTTAACATCATATTTTATTAATTTCATATATATTCATCAAAACAAAAAGATCTTATTGCAATAATCTTACTTTTATATATTCCAAAATTACTAATTGATTTTAACCCAGGAAATCACACTGAATTATCCCTTTCTAATTCCAGTCCAACAACATTTATAACCTCACTATATATTTGGAAATATATTGACCATTTTATTGTTCACAAAAAAAAAAAAGAAAAGAACCAGCAGGATATATTAATCTAATCTTTAACATAATAGAGGGAGAGAGATAGTGAACTAAAGTAAGTTAAAGTGACACGAAACTATTAACAAAAATGTACCTTACTTGTGTATCACTCAGCTGTAGATCTTCAAATCATCTCCAAATTTGTGAGGACACTGTCCTTCCTTCTGTGGCTACTTTTGTTCCCCATGGTCGCTGTGTGTTGTAGAGTAGCCACCGCTCCAAACTTATTCCTGTACTGCTCATGGACTACAATCTCAATACAAATGAGTAAACTAAACATGAGATTGTAGTCCATCACGGGAGTGAGCTTGGAGCGGTGGCTACTTTACAACATACCCAGGGACCATGGAGAACAAAAGTAGCCAGCCTCCAGAAGGAAGGACAGTGTCAGTACCAATTCAGAGATGATTTGAGGATCTGCAGCTGAGTGATACACACATCAGATACATATTTGTTAATGGTTGAGGTACTTGAATACATTTTTAAGATTTAACTCCTGAGTTTATCGTCATTGATTGGGATTATCTAGTGATGACCATCTGAATCAGAATAGAACATATTAAAGTGCCTAATGGACTTAGTTTTATAAACTAATGTTTGTTGACACAATTGGCCTTGTTCATCATGTGTCAGATTTAAACATGGCCAGGACAAAGAATGAAAGTGTATGGCTATGGGACAATACATCCCATTCTTATGTGAAGAGGTACAGTTAGAATATTCTTTTTAAATATACAGAATCTTGTTGGGCAGCTATAGTCATTAGTATGTATACTGTAACCCGATACACCCCATATATTACCATTTTCAGGTTTGTAAATCCTACACTTACAAAGAAATATTAACATGAAAAACATAAGGCATTTGGCAACAAGACTGTCATCAACTACTGAAAAACATACTGTATGTTATACAATGATCTAAGACTAGCTACAAGTAAATAAGACAGTACTTCTGCCCTGCCATATATGTAGCTTAATTGCAATTTACCTGTGAACACCGCCTCAAATAGTCCAGAGCTGGAAGGCATAGGTCTGTGGATGATGATGATGTAGAAGCACAGTCTCCAATTTCTTTACAATCAGCCTCACCTAAAAATTTGGGCATTAATCTTCATTAGAGCGTATGCAGAAATGGTCTAAACAATATGCTAGAAATGCCTAGTTTCAGGTATGCATATAGAATATGTCAAGTCTATCCATCAGGAAAAACAAAAAATCACTGCTTTGCATAGAGTGGGACACAAAGTATAAAACACAATGTCTGCTGCATTCAATTGTGAGAAAATGTTTGGGAACTCTTTGAAATTAAATAGATTTTGTCTAGAATAGATCCATAGTACAACAAATTAAAACAAATGGGGATCTGTAGTTTGTTAGAAGAACACAAAACAAGTATGTTGATCATGAAAGGAAACCATTTATTTCAAACACAACATACTGCTGCATTTTTAAAGGAGATCTATGAGGTGAGTGATTTCCACTCATCCTCATAGTTAGAGCCTACCTGTGACAAAGAAGCTGTCACAGGTCAGCTTTATCGATCGGGAAGTGAGCAGAAACATGCACAGATCTGCTCAGTACCCGATCATCTCCCTGGAAATAAGTGGTGACTGTCAGTCACTGCTCCCCACAGGGATTCCCCCCCTCCCAGGGGGCGGGCACAGCTGGCTCTGCCTCTAGATAGGCAGAGCCCGCTGTCAATCACGAAGCTGCGTGGATCTCGATAACATTGTCGGGATCCATCCCAGGTGCGGCGGTCTCGGTATACCGCGAGCTGTAGCTTGCGATATACTGAGCTTTGGGTCACAGGAGGATGCTAGTATATGTCCTCCCGTGACCGTAAAGAGAACTATGGGGGAAAACACTTACCCCATAGTTCTCTTTTAAAGGTTTAAAAAGAAAGAACAAAGCTATGTTTGGAAAAAAAAAATGCACTACAAAACAAATACAAAAACTTAATCCCCACTGCGATGCATGCTGAAAGGAGAATCATGGTTTGGAGCTTCTTTGCTGCCTTGGGGACTGTACTTCTCTACTACATTAATTCAAAATTGTATCAAGAAATGGTATCATATGTATCACGAAAAGACAGGAGATTGGCTAGTCGTCTGCCACCTGAACTGTAACAGAATTTCAGTAAGGCAACAAGACAGCCTAGGTCTACATTTTATATTCTGAAGTGGTCGAGTTGTAGTCCAGACCTCAGCTCAAAGAAGATTTTCTGGCATGATCTGATCTGATCAAGGAATTCCAAAAAATTCAATAAAACTGAAACTGTTTTGAGAGGGAAAAATGGTTTAAAATTCCTAATCATTTTTCAGCTCATGCTAAAGAAAGTTATTAAATACAAGTATTTGCATACCATTTCCAGCTTGGAAAAACATGCGAGAGTTCAACTATTTGTGTTATTAACCTAAGTAGACATCCACACAGAAGTCATTTATCCTTGGAGAGAGACCTATTTATATATATCTGCAAATTCTGTGTAATGCCACAAATATATAGTAAAATATGACATTTATTAAGATGGTATTCTCCTATAATAAAAAATAAAATGCCTTTTTTCGCTGACTGGTGTATCATACACAGAAGCATATGTTTACTACTAGTATCAGGCAATAAAATGCCTAACCATGATATGTGCCTAGAATGTATGCAATTATAGCTATCTGACTGGAAAAACTTCAAAGTACCAGATATCACTAACAGGTGGTAGTATTGCAGGTGAAATCTCAGGGAGCCCAAAACCCAGCAAGACTTGCCAGATAAATTACTGTGGTTGTGGATTTGCAATTAAACAAACAGTTCCAATTAAAAAAGAAAATATACACAGACACACATATATACACATATACACACACACAGAGCAATATATATAAAAAAAAACACACACACACAGAGCATTATATTAAAAAACAGACTTCTGAATTTTAGTATTTAATTTTAAACCACTTAAACTGCTGAAGTTAGTTGTTGAGCCTAAAGAAAATTCATATGCTCAGGAGGCTCATAATTACTTTAAATAACACAACATTGGTTGCTGTTCTTAAAAGGAATGAAGTATACCTAATCCCTTGACAAATTTCATAAGGCACATAATGTAATCAGTGGCTGCATTAGCAAAGACTTGAATGTTGTCTGTGTTCAGGAATGCTTCAAACACATCAAACACTGGAGCCTGGCGTTTTCCTAGGAGACAAGGATGTAGGTAAACTAGTAAGCTTATGAGATAAAAAGAAGAGAGTTACTTTCAGATCAAAGACAGAGAACAAAGAAGCAGGTCTCCTACCCAAAATAAATGGTAATATATCAGGATCTCTTCTCGTATATTAATGCAATACAAAAAGTTATATTTCACTGATTAGATCACCATCACTGGCATGGTTATATACCGGCCACCCGGACCAGTATCTCGCTTTCTTGATGACTTCTCTGCCTGGCTACCCTACTTTCTCTCCTCAGAAATACCCACTATCATTCTTGGTGACTTTAACATTGCTACTAACATTAACATGGACAAGGATTGCAAAGTCGACCCTGTAGGCAACCGTTGAGGAGACCGGCAAGGCATGCTGAATCTTGCCTTGTTCCCATTGGACGCTCCCTGCTCCACTGACCTCCGTCACAAGTACCAGAATTGGAAGGATATTTCACGCAGCAGGGGGACAGACATTGCTTAAATTTTTTTTTTTAAAAATCTAAAAAGGGGTTTTAAACTTTCCCCAGTTTATCAAAACCCAAAAAAAGTTGCAGCTACATTTATGCTTTAAGGGTTCAGTCCATCCAAAACCAACATTATTGACTAATTATATATTTTGGTAATTGAAGATAGCTAGCCACTGGGGTTTTCAACTCTGCTCCCCTCTCTACTATTCTTGCCTAAGTCCTATATAAGTGAAAGCTCCTGATGATTTTTGTGTACTATAAAATAAATGAAAATAAGCAAAAAAACTAAAACAGTAAAAACTAAACTCCAAAACATCTGGAAAAAGATCACACCTATGTTCCCGGCATATAGAAGGTTAACAAAACAGAAATATAAGTATGTGTGAATTTACTTGCTTTTTATTCAAACACTTCAAGAAACTCTCGACTCACCCATGGAGTATTCTCCCACAAGATACTCCTTTATATCTGACTTGCTGCTGTGTACAGTCTCCAAAGCACTGAACAGAGGCCTCCACCCTGACTGAATCTGAGGAGAGCACACTTCTACCAGTTCTCCAATGGATGTAACCACCTAAAGTTGCCAGAAAAAAAAAAAAAAAGTGGAGTTATTTAAAGAAATCGACGGTGTTTTATATATAATGGATACAGATACACTGCTATGGAGCAGCCATGGAGCACATGCTGAAAGTAGAGCTGCAACAGTTAATCGATTTAGTCGATTAAAATCGACGATTGAAAACGTTACCAACGTTTTCGATCGTCGATTCGTCGGCTATCGATTGATTTCCCTGTTCGGGGCTCTACACGCGGCCTGAAGCACACGCTGCTCACGTCCCGCTGCGCCCGCTGTGCCCACAGGACGCATAAGCCAATGGTGGAATAGGTGTACGGAGCTGCAGTGTGGACCAGGTGTGTGGGGGTGCAGTGTGGACCAGGTGTGTGGGGGTGCTGTGGTGGAACAGGTGTGCAGTGTGGAACAGCTGTGTGGAGAGGCAGTGGTGGAATAGGTGTATGGGGGTGCAGTGTGGACCAGGTGTAAGGGTGTGAAGTAGTGGAATAGGTGTATGGGGGTGCAGTGGTGAAATAGGGG